AAAAAAAAAAAAAAAAAAAGAAATTACCACTTATTGTTTTGATATGGAACACAGAAAAATCTAAAATTATCTGAAAAGACTATTAAAATATTCCAACTATGTATGCGTATCTGGGTGATGCTAGAACTTCTTCACATACTTGGACCAAAACAACACATTGTAACAGATGGAATGAGGAAGCAGATAGCTAATTTTCTTACAGAAAGCCAGACATTAAAAAGATTTGAAGAAAAGTTAAGATAGAGACACTTTTCTTACTAGTATTTTTGCCTAGGAAAAACTTACTTTTCATAAAAAGTATTTATGTTATTTATGTTAACATATAATGATTTATTGTCATTTTTGAGTTACCTAATATTCTAAAATTTTCAATATTCCAGTTTTGACTTATGATATAATAATTTGATAGCTATAAACTACATAAAAGCTCTTAGAGATCCTCATTGATTTGCAAGAGTGTAAAAAGTCTGAGGTGTTGATTTAAGCTGTACAGGCTGAACATTCCAAATCTAAAAGACCTGAAATTTGAAATGTTCCAAAACCCAAAACTTTTTGAGCACGCAAATGACACTCAAAGAAAATGCTTATTATATTATATTGCAAATATCCCAAAATATAAAAAAATTGAAAATCTGAAAAAACTTATGTCCCAAACATTTTGGAAAAGGTATACTCAACCTGTATCAGCTTTCACTTAGTTTTATTTGTATATTTGTATTGCCATAACAGTAGCCTTCATTACTATTTTTGGCACTTAGAAATTACAGAATGAAACATTAAATAGAAAATAATGAATTAAAACAGATATTTACAGTTTTGTGATCAAGATACAATTCAGTTCATTATTTCACAATAATAAAATTATAAATTACGTATCTGTGTAATAACTGAAAGTATAATATCATTTTGCCAAAATGTAGTTTCCAGACTTATTTTCCTGCATTCTTTCTTATTTAGGAATTTTTTTGCCTTTGGAAAATTTTTGTTTAGCAAATCTGGTAAAAAACATTTTGTAAACATGAGCTGAGTGTATGTTTTAAAAAACAAGATCCTTAATATTTAAATGTAGTGACATAATTAGAAGCACAACTAAAAATATTTTAATCCTTAATGTGGAAATGTATTTTTACACTTTTGGGATGACAGTTGGGATTTTTGTCCCCTTTTTAGGAGTTCATATTCTACACCCACTGATTTCCCCTTCAGTGCCTCCTCCCAGTCTCCAACCAAAGGGTTATCTGAGCAATAAACTCCCTGCTTCAGGATCTTTCACACTTTTCATTTTGAATCGTTTTTCCTCTTTGCTTCACATGTTTGTCTGTCTGTCTGTCTGTCTGTCTTTCTTTCTTTCTTTCTTTCTTTTTTTTTTTTTGAGACAGAGCCTCAAGCTGTCCCCCTGTGTAGAGTGCTGTGGCATCACAGTTCACAGGAACCTCTAACTCCTGGGCTCAACCGAGTCTCCTGCCTCAGCCTCCCAAGTAGCTGGGACCACAGGCGCCCACCACAAAGCTGGGCTATTTTTTGGTTGCAGCTGTCATTGTTGTTTGGCATGCCCGGGCTGGATTTGAACCCACCACCTCTTAGGTGTATGTGGCTGGCGCCTTAGCCACTTGAGCCACGGGCACCGAGCCGCCTCACATATTTTTCATAGATGTTTAAATCCTATTTTTCAGTGTATATTAGATTTATTTTTAGTCTCAACTATTGTCTTAGTAGCCTTTTGACCTTCTTTTCTCAAACTACTAAATTTATTTATTCATTTATTTACTTTTCAATTTTCTGACTGACTGTGAAATGTGATTTTTCCCTTTGCATCTTAGTTAACGTTTATCGGTTTTCCTTTAATGTTTTCTTCATGGTTTGAGTATAATATCTTGGTTTCTTTAAGTTAAGATTAAAATGTTAGCTATAATTTGAATCAATCAAATGTATAAAAATGAAAATATTCTAGAAGATGGTACATAAGTTTAATGTTCTCATTTTCAAATTACAAGTAGGATGAGGAAGTATATTCTAAGTTATTTCAACAGAGGAGAGAATGTATTTATAGAACTAGCATATCTCAACGTACAAAAGGTAATCAAGAAGTTAATAAAAGTGAGAAATGTGACATTTGGACCTGGGTGGACCAAAGAAACCAAACCCTAGCTGACCAACTCTCTAAAGAGGCTCTTGGGACCAGTCCCCGCACAGCAAGATGTTGCTCAGCAGAGAGTCAGTGTTTATTCTGTAAAGAACTGGTATTGAGTATCAAAACACCAGAGAATAATCAGGTTCCAAATCCTACATTTATATCTTTGTTTTAGTTGGGCCTGAAATAGATTTCATTTAATGGGGAAGGAGAGACTTATGATTTGCCTGGTTATACTGAAAAAGTTGGTGGGCAAAAATTAGCTCTGTTTTTCTTCATTGTGTTAAAAGCAAAGAACTTAATCTACTCAATAAATCCCACTTGCTGAGTATCATAAGCAAATGGCAAAGTTTACTAGTATTTGTAGCACTGGCCTTTCTGTCTTGACACAGGTGAAAACATCTATCAGAATGAAAGCCCCAGATTTGCCTGGTGAACAATACACTGCTCAATACACTTGGGACCAAAACTGCTTAATTTTTAAATTCTGTGTAGTAGGCTAGATTCACTTTGACTATCCTTCTAGGGTTGTGCTGATGACATTTTAAGCAGAGGAAGACATAGATGTACTCTGGCGTGGTGACATTTGGGATAGATACTTTCAATTTAGTTGCCTTGATTGAATCAGGATTGCTTGTGTCTTGCTACTACTGTACCATTTAGATTTATAATGGAGAAACTGGTCAGCATGGGTGATGGGATGCTTTGTCTAGGTTAAGAATTATGAAAGGCAAACTATTCCTTTTCTTTGCTTAGTCTGTGACTGGTTGAGCCTATTTTGCAAGACTTAAACATAGTCTAACAATAGAATAGAATTAGATTAAAGATTATTCCTGTAATCCTTGTATCTCTGGTATATTTGCACCTGTTCTATCTACGGTATGAGGGGTTCTAGGACATGAAATTCCCCACATAAACTTAGTTAGGTTTCAGACTAGAATCAGCATTCTTAGAAAAAGGAGTTCATCTCAGCAGGTACCAAATTATTTCACTTTTTTTTGAACTCACCCATCTTCCCCAAAGTGATCTTGGGGCATATGTTCTCACAAGCATATTTTATGATCTTTGACAAAAACTACCCTTAGCTGAATCTTTAGTTAGTACTGCTAACCTTGCAGATGTTTCCATTGGGTTTTCTTAGTATTCTGACTGGCTTCAAGTTAAAAAAAAACCCTTTCTCTCCCTTTCTTTTTCATTTTCTTGGCCTCAAAAATGAGCCCTTTATTGATCCTTAGTTCTTGGTACTTTCCTGCATTTTTTGTGCAGGTCCCCCTTTCTTTGGTGTGTGATAGCAGTTTTTGTCTTAGCTAGGCTTGGCTTTCCTTGTTTCTGGCTGCTTACCTATACGTTCCTTCTGTTATTGAATTTAACATATTAGACACATTTTTTAATATACTAATCAAACACCATTTACCCATGCATATTTCCATCAGGGAATTTTCACTAACACCGATGCTATATCAGAGCTGTGTACGTAGTCCTCAGAACATCGTCATGATATGTATATATTCATGATATAGATCCCCGTCTGTCCTGGTCTTTTGGTCTCATTATCTTGCTTACTATTTTCCTTATTGAGCAGTTGGCTTTGTCACTGCTCTTTCTCAGAGTCAGGTTAGCTAAATTCTCTACTGAAGGAGGTTGAGACAGAGTGGTTATTAATCTTAGAGGCATCAGAGTTATCAAATGCCAGAACTTGACAACAGTGTTAAGGAAAGACCATTTTTATGATCATTTTCTATAACGAACTTGCCACTCTTTCTCAGTTCTCTTACTCTCTGACATTTCTTAGCCCTGGTTCTTATTTTAATGATCCCAAATCTGGAAAAACGTCAGAAGTACTTGAGGAAAATAAAATAAAAATATAGTTTTCTGGGAAGAAACTAGAGACATTCCAGTTCTTCCCATTTGTTTTGTGTGCTATTTTTTTTTTTTTTTTTGAGACAGAGCCTCAAGCTATCCCCCTGGGTAGAGTGCCATGGCATCACAGCTCACAGCAACCTCCAACTCCTGGGCTCAAG